TGTTGTGTGAAGAATACTGCTGAGGATGATATGTATGTGCTGGTAGTCACCTGCAGTGCTCTCCCAGCTACCAGCTTTTAGTAGCTCAAGGACTTCCTGAGCCCAAGGTAGCATTACAATATTAATAATCTTCCATGGATTTATCTACTTGCTAAATTTTCAAGTGCATGGGGTTTTGTTTTGTTTGTTTTTTTTTAAAGGTGTCCATGATATGCACAACAAAAAGTTCTAGAAGTTAACTATGAATTGTAAGAATCATTCCCTGTTGCAAGTTTGTAATTGACAAGCTGCTGATTTGCTGTGTCCTCTGCCACTATGAGGCAAGGCTGTAAGCAGTTGTATGAAAGTCACTTTTGACAACATATATGCAGAAGTGTATGTTGGACTTTTTGAAAAATGTTATATTTAATGTTAATCTCATTTCATAATTTCCTCCTTCCTTCTTGCCTTAGTCTGTTTCTCCGCCACCTTCTTTATCTGTTGTGCCTGTTCTTACTTCATTTTACCTAAACTTCTCACTCACTTCTGTATTGCTTGTCTCTGTCTTTTATAAAGCAGATACCATGTGAACATGTAGATAAGCTGCCACCTACACATTTCAACTGGTATTTATATTCCTGGGTTTTGGGGTTTGTTTTTTGGTAATGGCAGAATGCACGGAGTCACTTGGAACAATGAGTAAGCAGCAGATGTGGTAATCCATCAAGGACTGTCATTTAGGGCAGGGTGTGCATATAATCTCATTGCCCCATTATCAGTTTATGTCAAAGGTCTGCAATACGCATTTGGGTTTTGCACAGAAGGCAAAACATTAGATAGGCACAGAAATCCAGATGTCCTTAATTATATCCATTGAATTTAACACTGACAATTATAGAGGAAGTAGCAGAGACCCCACTGGAATATCTGAGAGAAAAATTAGGTCCTTCAACACTGTCCTGTACCTTTGCAGAAAATGATGTGTGTATCCAAGATTAACTGGTGTAATTCTACTGTAGATGTGTGTTTTGTTCCTTGGTGTTAAACCCAAGCTGTAATCGAAGCATGTAGGCATTTGTTCTAGTGTGATTGTTTGTGTCCTTTTACTTTCTGCTGAAAATGTTACTGTCCTACTGTTGAGCCTGTTCTCTCTGCCCATGCTGTTGTTTGTGAGTTTCTGTAACCCTGTTTCAGACAATGAGCCAGGTTAACTCGAACGAGTAGAATAGTATGATGGTCAGCTGTTGTCAGCCTGCTGTGTTCTGACTGAAGGAGACTGGTAGGGGTTCAGACAAGTAGTTGAACTGGTTTGGGGGGTACGCTACTATTAAGAGGAGGGAGGATGTCCAAACGTCTAGGGCTGTAATTTCAGCCAACAGCAAATGTGAGAACTTGTTTGTGTTTCTTCATCATTCAAAGCTATAAAATACTTAGTTCTTGCCACCAAATACAATGCTCGATAAAAAAGGGGAAAATTGAGCTTGTTGTTGCCATTGCAAATTGGAATGGGTCTGTAGGCCTCTCAGCAGAAGAGAAAACAAGTAAAGCAGGATCCTGAATGTCCTGGCTATTGGGTATCTTGGTTGTTGGATGCTTCACCTGACTTTCTTTCGGCTCAGGCAGGAGTCACTCAGAAATGTCACAGGAAATGGGCATATTTATGACATTTTGTGAATCGATGGCATCAAGTGAGTTTAAAATTTCTAGACAACCGTGTTGTTCGTGTGTGTCTGAGCCATGAGGTGGTTTTTTTGTTAGCCCCATCTTCCATTTCTTGTCTGATACTCAGATTTTTGATGTGCTAACTATGAACTCCTCTGACAGCCATTTTAATCACTGTTTTAGCTGTACTTTATGGGGATAGAAGAGCAAAGCTGTCTTTGAGCTTGCACCTGTAGTAGGATGTAACTGGAATAGCTTAATACGTTAATAATTGTTTGGTGCGTGGGTGCTCTTTTTGAGAGGCTGTATAGCACTCTCTGACCCACTGACTGTCTCAAATAAGCAGATTATTAGAAATTACTGACTCCAGTTTCTGATACATTTGGGACTGTAGTTTTCAGGTTTTCTTAGTTCCCTGAAACTATGTTTTGAAGATAACTTTTGAAGATGACAAACTAAACTTTGTTGCAAGACTCTTAGAAACAAGCTGATACCGTGTCCAAAGTTACAGTAAGTGTTCAGACCATGAATCATTTTTAAGAAGTTTCTTCACATTGTCTTCTTCATATAAAGACCCAACTGCTTGTGAAGATACTTAACCCTATCCTTAATTTATCTTCTCTGAGAATGACAGCTGTTTGAAAATAACAAAGAGCCACTGGAAGATTAACAGGCCAGGAAATACCTTATTCAGCTGTCAGCTTGTTACAGTTTAACCCGAGCCAGCAGCTGAGCCTCGCACAGCTGATCACTCACCCCAGTCCCAGCAGGATGGGAGAGAAAAATAGAAGGGTAAAAGTGAGAAAACTTGTGGATCGAGATAAAGACAATTTTATAAGTAAAGCAAATGTTGTGCATGCAAGCAAAGAAAAATATGAAATTCATTTGCTCCTTCCCATCAGCAGGCAGGTGTTCAGCCATCACCAGGAGAGCAGGGCCCATCGCATGTAATGGTTACTTGGGAAGATCAACACCATCACTCCAAACATCCTCCCCATCCATATTCTTCCCTTCAGCTTTTGTTGCTGAGCACAGTGCTTCCTCGTATGGAATCTCCCTTTGGTCAGTTTGGGTCTGCTGTCCTGGCTGTGTCCCTCCCAGCCTCTTGTGCAATCCCCAGCCTACTCAGCAGCAGAGCAGTGAGGAACAGAGAAGGCCTTCATGCTGTGTAAGCACTGTTCAGCAATAATTAAAACATCCCTATGTGATCAACACTGTTTTCGTCACATATCCAAGCTGTGGAACTACACAAGCTATTATGAAGGAAAAATCCCTATGAAAACCAGTAAACGACTGAAAGGGTGTTTTAAAGGAAAGACATTTTACTTGTAAATCATCCACAAAACTAAGCTTCAATATCTACTATTGTTAAAAACAGAACTTGAGATTTATAACAAATATAAATTCAGTATATATTTATAAAATAAATAACACATAGGCAGAACTTCTGTTTCACTGGAAACCTTCCTGTAAGAGTCGTTTCTAGACTTTGTGTCTTGTATACAGATTATAGTAGCTGCAGGAATAGGCTTTGCTTCTTGAGCTTTCTGAGGTTCCCCTACAGTCTGTTTGAGTCCTCTCCTTTTGTGAGTATTCTTCAGTTGCTGTTCGTGGAAACCAAGGTATGTGACCTCATTGCGACCTCCCAGGACTTGAAGGGAGTTTATAAACAGGAGGGAGAGTGACCTTTTCCATGGGCAGATAGTGATAAGACAAGGGGAAATGGTTTTAAACTAAGAAAGGGGAGATTTAGGTTAGGTATTAGGAGGAAATTTTTCACCCAGAGTGTGGTGAGGCAATGGCACAGGTTGCCCAGGGAAGTTGTGGATGCCACCTCCCTGGAGACATTCAAGGCCTGGTTGGATGAGGCCCTGGGCAGCCTCATCTAGTGGTTGGCAACCTTGCCCACAGCATGGGGGTTGGAACTAGATAGTCTTTAAGGTCCCTTCTAGCACTAACCAGTCTATGATGATTCTTTGATTTTTGTCATTTTTAAATCTTTTATACCCTGTGGTATTTGTTGAAGTGTAGCCTGAAATGTTTACTGTCTTGAGTTCTGGTTCTGAAATCAAATTATGACAACTCTGTGCAAAAACTAGGAAGCAAATAGTGACACAGTTTTCAGATGCTTGTTTTAAAATGCATGCATTCATGAATAAACATGATGCTGTTGAAAATTGCTTTGCTAGCTATCTTGGATGAGGTTGCGAGCGGTGCATCTTGCAGATTTTTTAGAACTATTGAAATAACCACAGTTGATGCTTATTCAGCAAGGATTTTCTGACAGAAGCACTGATCTTCAGTTAAGCGTCTATTTACTTTATGAGTAAGCTATAAATGTGATAGCCTGTTTTCAGTATTGCCTTACTTTTCCTGAGTGTCTTCACAGAATTAAAAGAACTGTATCTCTGGCAAGCTTAGGTTCTGTGTCAGTACACTGTCACCCTCTGCGGCAGTAGTCCCCAGATTCAGCCTGTTGCACATAGCTGCAAGCAGCCTTGAATAGTTTGAAAGGCATTAACGCACTCTTTTAATCTCTGAAAAACTGGTATAGGGGCCTTGGAGATTTCTTTATTATAGAATCATAGAATGGTTTGGATTGGAAGGGAACTTAAAGATCATCCAGTTCCAACCCCCCTGCCATCAGCAGGGACACCTTCCACTAGACCAGGT